CTTCCATTCCTTCTTTGCGGGGGGGGCCCCCCCCGGGGCCCCCCGCGGCGCCTGCTGCAGCAGCAGCAGCAGCAGCAGCAGCAGCAGCAGCAGCAGCAGCAGGGGCCCCGCGGCGGCGGCTGTGGGGCAGCGAAGTGTGCCACACTGTGCCAGTGCTGCGGGAAGGGTTTTGCGAAAGAGTTGTTGCTGTTAAAGAAGCATTTGCATGCGTTGCTGCTGCTGCTGCTGCTGCTGCTGCTGCAGTGGAAGTGTGCGAAGAAGTGGCGGTGGAGGTGGCGGGCAGCTGCAGCAAAGAGGTGCAGCAGCAGCAAGAAGTCCCCTGCGTGCAGCAGCAGCAGCAGCAGCAATGCAGAGAAGTCGAAAGCATTTGCTGGCAGCAGCAAACTGACACAGAAGAATATGAATGTGGGAAGCGGCGCTGCAGGCGAGTGGTGCAGCAGCAGCAGCAAATGTGCGAGCGCGTGGTGCAGGTGCCGCGCAGCTTCCCGTGTCCGCAGCAGCAGCAGCAGCAGCAGCAGCAGCAGCAGCAGCAGCAGGTGTGTCGCGGGGAAGCAGCAGAAGCCCCCGCCACTTGCTTCCGCAAAGTCCTCAAGGAAGAGACTTATCCTTGTCAGCAGCAGCAGCAGCAGCGGCAGTGCCGCATGGTCACAGTGCAGGTGCGCAGCAGCTGCAGCAGACCCGTGCTGCAGCAGCAGCAGCAGCACTGCCTCAAGACACGCGAGCAGCAGCAGTGTCTCCTCGTGTCTTTGCCTGTCCCCTCCCGCTGCCGCAGACCCACGGAGCAGCAGCAGCAATACAAATGCTTCAAAACTGTTTACAAACGAAAGTGCAGCAAACGAAAAGTCAAAGTCCCTGTCCCCTGCAGCAGCAGCAGCAGCAGCAGCAGCAGCAAACATGTCCCACCCCACAAGCACCTCCACCAGCCCATTCTGGGGCCCCCCCTTGACGAGGGGCCCCTAGAGGGGCCCCTGGAGGGGCCCCTTGAGGGGCCCCTGGAGGGGCCCCTAGAGGGGCCCCTAGTGGGGGCCCCCCTGCCCCTAGAGGGGCCCCTAGAGGGGCCCCTTGAGGGGCCCCTAGAGGGGCCCCTTGAGGGGCCCCTGGATGGGGGGCCCCTGGATGGGGGGCCCCTGGATGGGGGGCCCCTGGATGAGGGGCCCCTTGAGGGGCCCCTGGATGAGGGGCCCCTGGATGAGGGGCCCCTGGATGAGGGGCCCCTGGATGGGGGCCTCATAGAGGAACACCTCCTAGGGGGGCCCCTGGATGAGGGGCCCCTGGATGAGGGGCCCCTGGATGGGGGGCCCCTAGATGGGGGGCCCCCCCTGGCCAGCCCCACAGGATTTCACTCCAGGGGCCCCCAGGGGGCCTATGGGGGCCCCCGCATGCAGGGGGGCCCCCGCATGCAGGGGGCCCCCCGCATGCAGGGGGGGCCCCCCATGCAGGGGGGCCCCCGCATGCAAGGGGGCCCCCGCATGCAAAGGGGCCCTCAAGGCGCCTTTGGGGGCCAACTTGGGGGGGCCCCCCCCATGCAGGGGGGCCCCCGCATGCAGGGGGGCCCCCGCATGCAGGGGGGCCCCCGCATGCAAGGGGGCCCCATGTATGAAGAATATGACATGGATGAGGAAGAAATGGGTCTTGACATGGGGGCCCTAATGGGGGGCCCCCCTGGGGGCCCCCAGGGGGGCCCCCAGGGGGGCCCCCCCCTGGCCCGTTTGGGGGCCCCCGGGGGTCAGCGGGCTGTGGGGGCTTGGCAGGGAGAAGGGGGGAGGCCCTCGTTTGCTGCTGCAGCAGCAGCAGCAGCAGCAGCAGCGCCGGGCCAGTCGTTCAGCGCGGCTGCGGGCGCAGCAGCAGCAGCAGCAGCAGCAGCAGCAGCAGCAGCAGGAGGAGGGTACTACTATGCAGAAGACTTTGAAGAAGCTGAGCGGCGGCTGGGGGTCAAAAAGAAAAGGAAAAGGGGGGGCCCCCGGGGGCCCCCCGAGGGGCCCCCCGTAGTTGCTGTGGTGGAGTCCGTGGCCGTGGGCTGCGTGGAGGGGGCCCCCTGCGGCCCCCCTGCTGCTGCTGCTGCTGCTGCTGCTGCTGCTGCTGCTGAGTGCGAGCGCGTGGAGGAGCAGCGCGTGTGTCGGCGAGTGGCGAAGCAAGTTGCTGCTGTTTGCATGCGGACAGTTGTGGGGTTTGAAGAGTTCAGCTGCATGCAGCAGCAGCAGCAGCTGCAGTGTCGGCCGGTGTCAGTGCAGGTGCGGGGTGTATGTACAGTGCAGGTGGCAGCAGCAGAGCGCTACCCCTGCATGCAGCAGCAGCAGCAGCGGCAGTGCCGCAACGTGAAAGTTGCTGTTGCTGCTACCTGCAGCAGGAAGGTGCAGCAGCAGCAGCCGTACCCCTGCGTGCAGCAGCAGCGCGTGCGCCGCTGCGAGCTGCTGCAGCAGCAGCCGCCGCAGCAGCAAATCTGCACCGAGCTGCTGCAGCAGCAGCAGCAGTACCCCTGCACCAAGCCAGTCAAGGCCGTGCAGTGTACGTACACCCCAAAAACCTGCCGCCGCAAAGTCCAGAAGCAAGTCCAAGTCCCCTGCAGCAAAACGGAATGTGCTGCAGCAACAGTTGCTGCTGCTGCAGTTTGCATGCGCCCCGTCACCCGCACAGTCACCTACCCCTGCCCCCGCACCGTGCTGCAGCAGCAGTGCAGGCTGCAGCAGCAGCAGCAGCAGCAGCAGCAGCAGCAGCAAACCACTTGCTACCGCACGCAGCTCCAAACCAAAAGAGTTCCTTGCCAGCAAATTTCTTACCAAACTGTCTGCAGCCCCCGGGCCCCACAGCCCTGCAGCAAACACACTTGTGCAGTTCACAAAAAGCACAAAGGCAAGCACTGAGCAGCAGCAGCAGCAGCAGCAGCAGCAGCAGCAGCAGCTGCTGCTGCGCAGAAGCAGCAGCGGCGGCAGCACAAGCAGCGGCAGCAGCAGCGGCGGCAGCAGAAGCAGCAGCAACGGCAGCACAAGCAGCAGCAGCAGGTGCGGAAGCTGCTGCTGCTGCTGCTGCTGCAGCGGCAGCAGCAGCAGTAGCAGCAGCAAAAGTGAACGATGCTTGCTGCTGGTGCAGCTGCGGCTGCTGCTGGTGCAGCAGCAGCGGCAGCGCCGGGGGGAGAGGCTGGCTGCGCAGGGGAAGAACGCGACGCAGGCAAAAACAGCAGCAGCAGCAGCAGCAGCAGAAACAGCAGCAGCAGCAGAAACAGCAGCAGCAACAGCAGCAGCAGCAGAAACAGCAGCAGCAGCAGCAACAGCAGCAGCAACACTTGAAAGTTCTATTATTTGTATGTCTGCAGCCAATACTGCTGAGTTGCCATTTGCAGCACTTCGCATTTTCCAGGCAAGAGCCTGTCACAGCTTGCTGCTGCAGCAGCAACAGAAGCAGCAGCAGCAGCAGCAGCAGCAGCAGCAGCAGCAGATTGCTGGCTGCTGCAGACGCAGTTGCTGCAGGCGTCTTTGCACGCAGACTGAACGTTATATTCTAAACGCCCCAAACCCTAAACCCTAAACCCTAAACCCTAAACCCTAAACCCTAAACCCTAAACCCTAAAGCGCTTCTTTGCGTGGAAGCTGGACTGAACAACTGCACAATCAAATTTATTTCTATTTCTATTTTTAAATATAATTAGAATTATATTTTAATTATATTTTAATTATATTTTAATTATATTTTAATTATATTTTAATAATATTTTATTTTATTTTATTTTTGTTTTATTTCCATTTCAAATTCCAGCAAACGGCATGCAGACACCTGCCTATACACCCCAGCACCAAGCACTCAAAATAGGAATTGAAAGCGCAGTTATATACTTTCTGCTGCTGCTGCTGCTGCTGCTGCTGCAGCTGCTGCTGCAGCTGCTGCTGCTGCAGCAGCAACTGCGGCGTAGGCAGCAGCGGAGGGATTAGTTTGCTGCAGCAGCAGCAGCAGCAGCAGCAGCAGCCGTTCTGCTGCTTGGCGTGATAGGGCTGCTGCTCCAGCAGACGGGCAGCACCCCCTCCTTCATTTGCTGCAGCAGCTTTTGTATCTGCTGCTGCTGCTGCTGCTGCTGCTGCTGCTGCGGCTGCTGCGGCTGCTGTGGCACGACCTTGAGGTCCATGGGGTCTCGCTGCTGCTGCTGCTCTGCTGCAGCAGCAGCAAACGAAATCGCCTGCTGCTGCAGCCACAAAGCCTCCAGCTCCCCCGGGCCTATAAATTGCTTTTGCTGCAGCGGCTGCTGCAGCACTGCGGTGTACAGACACCCTCTTGCTGCCTCGGCAAGTTGCTGCTGCTGCGTCGCCAGCTGCTGCAGCAGCAGCGCAGCAGCCTGCTGCTGCTGCTGATGAAGCCCCCGTCGCCTGCGCCCACTCTGCTGCTGTTGCTGCTGCTCGTGCTGCTGCTGCTGCTGCTGCTTCCCCTGCTGCTGCTGCTGCTGCAGGTGACTGTACACCTGAATTTCTGCTGCAGCTTTTCCCAGCTGCTGGCAAACTGCAGCAAGATGCTGCCTCACGGTGCGCATAGGTCTCGCACTGCTGCCGCTGCTGCTGCTGCTGCTGCTGCCGCTGCTGCTGCTGCTGCTGCTGCTGCTGCTGCTGCTGGCGAGGCCTATCAGCTGCAGCAGCAAACCGGGGCTCACATCTCTCTCGCGCAGCAAAAGGGAAGTGCGGTGCTTCAGAAACTGCTGCAGCGAGGCTAGCTGCTGCAGCGCTGCTGCTGCTGGCTGGCAGGAAGCTGCTGCTGCTGCTTCCACTGCAGCAAGCCGCGCCCTCAGGTGTGCAGACAGCACGCGCACAGCTGCAGGGAGCTCCAGCTGCTGCTGCTGCTGCTGCTGCTGCTGCTGCTGCTGCTGCTTTGACGGTGCGTCTGACTTTGGCTTCGCGCTGCTGCTACGCGCCCCACGAGCTGCTGCAGCAGCAGGAGTAGCTGCTGCTGCTGCTGCTGCTGCTGCTGCTGCTGCTGCTGGACGAGCCCGACACGGCCAGAGGCTCCGCCTCTTGCGTGCTGCTGCAGGAGCAGCAGCAGCAGCAGCTGCTGCTGCTGCTGCTGCAGTAGCATGGATCCGTAGTGCTGCAGCAGCATCTGCAAGCGTCCCGCAGCGGCAGACGAGCTCTGCTGCCCAGGCGCTGTCTTCTGCTGCTGCTGCTCTTGCTGCTGCTGCTGTTGCTGCTGCTGCTGCTGCGCGCTGCAGCAAGGCAAGTGTGGACGAATCGAGACGCACAGCTGCGCCGGACATGTTTGCTGCTGCTGCTGCTTCTGCTGCTGCTGGTGCTGCTGCTGCTGCTGCCATTATTGTCTCCTTTGCCAGTTCCTGCACACGGCCCAGTTGTCTGTACACCAAAGCAGTGCTGCAGAGCTGCTGCTGCTGCTGCTGCTGCTGCTGCTGCTGCTGGAGCGCAACAGCACCCAATCTTAAAGCAGGTGCAGTGCACCGCCGCCGCTGCTGCTGCTGCTGCTGCTGCTGCAGCAGCTGCACCTTCAGCCCCTCCCTTGCCGTTCCCACTGCTGCGTACACTTGTACTGCTGCTTTTGCTGCTGCTGCTGCTGCTGCTGCTTCTGCTTCTGCTGCTGCTTCTGCTGCTGCCTCTGTTGCTGCTTCTGCTGCTGTTTCTGCTGCTGCTGCTGCTCTCTGCTGCTCACTGATGCTCTGCAGCAGCATCTCCGCAAGCAGCGCCGTCTGCCGGCCAAATTTTCTGCAGGTCGAAGACCTGTTGCTGCAGCCTGCTGCTGCTGCTGCTGCTGCTGCTGCTGCTGCTTTGGAGGCTAAGCGCAGCTCAAGCAGCCGGGTTTGCTGCTGCTGCTGCTGCTGTTGCTCTTGCTGCTGCTGTTGGCGGCGGCGGCGGCTCAACAGTGCAGCGGCAGCAGCAGGCAGCCACTCGCGAGGTAACGCTGCAGCAGCAGCAAGCAGCAGTTGCTGCTGCTGCGCAGCAGCAGCAGCAGCTGCAGGCAGCAGCTGCGGCACCAGGTGGTCTAAGAGCTTTGCTGCTGCTACTGCTGCTGCTGATTCTCCTGCTGCTGATCCTGCTACGGATCCAGCTGCTGCTGCTTTTCCTGGGCCGGCGTGCCGCTGCAGCACTGCAGCAGCAGCAGCAACAGCAGCAGCAAGCTGCTGCGGCTCTGCAATCTGGTCTCCGTGCTGCAGCAGCTCAGCAGCGAATTCCGCCAAGAGAGAGTCCAGCAGGCTGTCGCCCTGCAGCAGCTCGAGCCGCTGCTGCTGCTGCTGCTGCAACTGCTGCTGCTGCTGCAACTGCTGCTGCTGCTGCTGCTGCTGCTGCTGCTGCTGCAGCAAAACGACCAGCGGCTTCAGCTGCAGCTCAAGAGTGTCCAAAGGGGCCCTCAAGTGGGAGGTGGAGATACACCCCGTGCGTGGCAGCTTGCTGAGGGCCACGAAGGCTCCTAAAATGCTGCTGCTGCTGCTGCTGCTGCTGCTGTTGCTGCTGCTGCTGCTGCTGCTGCTGGGGGGAAGAAGGGGCAAGGGCTCTGCTGCTTTAAGCGCCGCCAGCCGCTGCAGCAGCAGCAGCAGCAGCAGCGCAGCTTCCTGCTGCAGCTCTACCCGCTTGAAGGCGCCCCTTGCTGCAGCGAAGCCCAGTGAGTCCAGCAGCAGCAGCACGTCCTCAGTGCTGCTGCTGCTGCTGCTGCTGCTGCTGTGAGCAGCAGCAAGAAAGAAGCGCTGCAGCGCATGCGTGTGGGACGGGTGGCAGCGCACAGGGAGGTCGTCAAGTGCAGCAACAAAAGCTGACAGCAGCGGCTTGCTGCTGCTGCTGCTGCTGCTGCTGCTGCTGCTGCTGCTGCTGCTGCTGGGACTGTGCGCAGGGACGGCGGGGAGGCCGAGGAGGTCCAGCAGCAGCTGCTGCTGCTGCTGCTGCTGCAGCGACGCAAAGCGCAGGCTGGGGCTGTTTGCTGCTACTGCAGCAACAGCATCCACCACGTGGAAGTGCAGCAGCTGCAGCTGCTTTGCTGCTGCTGGCAGCAGCAGCAAATCAGACCCCCGGAGCTGCTCGGGCTGCTGCAGCAGCAGCAGCACAACCCGCAGCACCGTGCGGTGGCTGTAATGCGGAAGCTGCTGCAGCTGCTGCAGCAGCAAGCCCTGCTGCAGCAGCTGAGGCGCAGCCCTGCGGAACTCTCGGGGCACTAACAATAGCTGCTGCTGCTGCTGCTGCTGCTGCTGCTGCTCTTGCTGTTGCTGCTGCTGCTGATGCGCTTCCCCGCTGATGCATCTGCTGCGTGTTTCAGTTGCAGCTGACGCAACAGCAGCAGCAGTAAAAGATCCGGCCTTGCCAGGCTGCTGCTGCTGCAGCAGGTGCTGCTGCTGCTGCTGCTGCTGCTGCTGTCGCTGCAGCAGCAGATGAGATCTTACACAGACGGGAAGCGGCACAGCAGCAAAAGGCTTAGCTGCTGCTCTCTGGGATCGGATCCCACTTGATGCATGCGCACCCCACAGCGGCCTCATTATTGCCACTTGCTGCTGCTGCTGCTGCTGCTGCTGCTGCTGTTCTGCTGCTGCAGCTGTTGCTGCCGCTGCCGTAGCTGTTCACGCTGCTGCTGTAGCTGTTGCTGCTGCAGCAGCAGCAGCAGCAGCAGCTACTGCTGCTTCAATAGATCTGGACCCGAGGGAACCTTGAGGTGTACGTACAGCTGCCGCGCTGCTGCTCCAGCGTCAACTCGGAGAGAGCAGCAGCAGCAGCAGCAGCAGCAGCAGCAGCAGCAGCTAGTGTGCAGACTACTCTCCAGCAGCAGCAGCAGCTAGTATGTAGACCACCCTGCAGCAGCAGAAGCAGCTAGTATGTAGCCCACCCTACAGCAGCAGCAGCAGCAGCTGTGTCTGTTGGCTGTGCCGCAGCAACTCGCTGCTGCTGCTGCTGCTGCTGCTGCTGCTGCTCCAGCTGCCTGTGCAGCACAAGGGCCGCTCGTTCCTGCTGCTGCAGCAGCAGGCCCCGTGAAATGCATGCGCTGCAGCAGCTGAAATAAAGAAACAATTTAATTTAGTTAGCTGTCTTGCTGCTATTGCTGCTGCTGCTGCTGCTGCTGCTGCTGCTGCTGCTGGGGCTGCCGGGGCTGCTGGGGCTGCAGCTGTTGTTGGCTGCGGCTGCGCAGCAGCAAAAAGCGCAGCAGCAGAAAAATAAAAATAAAAATAAAATAAAAATATAAAATGAAGTTGAAGCAGCAACTTTGGACTGTTTAGGCGTTTGTACACCTTGGGAGTTGCTGCAGCAGCAGCAGCAGCAGCAGCGGCAGCAACAGCAGCAGCAGCGGCAGCAACAGCAGCAGCAGCGACAGCAGCAGCAGCAACACAGCAGCAGCAGCAGCAGCGGCCAAATTGTTCAACAGTGCAATTTGCTGCAGCTGCAGCAGCAACTCCGCCGCCGACTCACACTTGAGCTGCTGCTGCTGCTGCTGCCGAAGGAGGCAGCAGCACCGACAGCAGCAGCAACAGCAGGCAGGTACAGCAGCAGCAGCAACAGCAGCAGCAGCAACCGCAGCAGCAGCGACAGCAGCAACAGCCACCGCAGCAACAGCAGCAACAACTGCAGCAAGGATGTCTTCCTACGCGCCTCTAAGGCCTTGTGAGGCTTTAGCCGAAGAGCTCTTCGCCTCCGTGGTGCTTAAACCCTAAACCCTAAACCCTAAACCCTAAACCCTAAACCCTAAACCCTAAACCCTAGCCCCTGCCAGACCGGAGCCCTTCCTACGACACGGCCCGCCAAGAGCCCCCAGTTGTTCCCTAGGGTTTAGATCCCAGGGTTTAGGGTTTAGGCCTTAGGGTTTAGGCCTTAGGGTTTAGGGTTTAGGGTTTAGGGTTTAGGGTTTGCGGCAGGCGGGGAAGGGGCCCCCGGGGCTGCTGGCGGAAGTGTTTGAAAAAGGAGACAAAGAACTGACTACAGCTGCTGTGTCTTTTAGAGACAAAGACAATCGTTTGCTGCTGCATGCAGCAGCAGCAGCAAACGACGCAGCAGCAATGCTGCTGCTGCTGCAGCACGGCGCAGACCCCACTGCTGCTGACGAGGTACGCTGCCCTGTCGCTGCTGCTGCTGCTGCTGCTGCTGCTGCTGCTGCTGCTTTTTGTGCTGCTGCTGTTCCTGCTGCGCCTGCCTCTCCCTCTGCTCGTGCTGCCTCTCCCGCTGCTGCTGCTGCTGCTGCTGCTGCTGCAGCAGCTGCTGCTGTTATATTCTTTTATGGTCTATTTGTGCCTCACGAGGTGTGTGTCCCGTCAGTTCATAAATTCTTTTTCTTTTGGATTTCTTTCTTCCTTTTTTCAATTTGTGATTATTATGATTTTAATTTAATATTTTAAATTCATTTTTGATTTAAATTCGACTTTTGCCTCTGTGGGGAGTTGCTGCTGCTGCTGCTGCTGCAGCAGCTGCTGCTGCTGCTGCGGCTGCTGCTGCAGCAGCGGGAGCGGCCGCGGCCGAAGTGCTCGGCGGCGCAGTTTGGCGAGTTTTTGAGCTAAAATGGATTTATTTTTGATAAATTATTTAATTAAAATTAAAATTGGAGAAATTAATCGAAAATAAAACGCAAAATGGCGCATTTTCCGCGTTTTTTGCTGCTGGCAGGGGGGGGTCACCGCGCTGCATGCGTGCTGCGCGCGGGGCTTCACTGAGGGCGTGGAGCTGCTGCTGCCGTTCATAAAGCGCCAAATCGAAGCAAATAAGTCAAAAGAAATAAATAAAATAAATAAAATAAATGAAATAAATGAAAAAAGCGAAAAAAATGAACAAGAGGACTCCGAAAAGCCCCGGGGGGCCCCACCCGAAGCCCCGAGGGGGCCCCTTGACCAGCTCACTGACACCGGCGGAAGTCCTCTTCTTTACGCGGCTTCCAAAGGCACGTAAACCCTAATCTAGGGTTTAGGGTTTAGGGTTTCGGGCCCGGGGGCTACCAGGGCCTGGGGGCGTTGCTAGCTCGCACCGCGGCTCGCTGCTCTCACTGCCCCGCTGCGGTGTTGCTGCTGCTGCTGCTGCTGTTAGGGTTTAGGGTTTAGGGTTTAGGGTTTGCGCGCAGGCCACCTCGACATAGTGAAGCTGCTGCTGGAGCACGGCGCCGACGTGAACCAAAAGGGCTATGGAAATGTGAGTTTAGGGTTTAGGGTTTAGGAGCCACCGCACCAGTAGAGCTTAGGGTTTAGGGTTTAGGGTTTAGGGTTTAGGGTTTAGGGTTTGCGGCGCAGCACACGGCGCTCTCCCGCGCTGTCTGCGCCGGGCGAAAAGCTGTCATCAGTTTCTTGCTGACGGTGCCGGGAATCGACCTCAACGTAAACCCTAAACCCTAAACCCTAAACCCTAAACCCTAAACCCTAATCCCTGAGCTCTCAGGCCCTTTTCGGCGTGGGCGCTCTTTTCGAGGGTTTAGGGTTTAGGGTTTGGGAGCGATCTGCTGCAGGTTAAGGAGACAGGCACGGGAGACAACTTGCTGCACCTCGCTGTGGTAAACCCTAAACCCTAAACCCTAAACCCTAAATTGGTGTTTTGGGGTTGTTTTGCTTCGTTTTTCAGCTGCTTTTTCGCAGTTTACTATTCCCGGAATAATTAACAATTGTTTATTCATTTTAATTGATTTTATTTATTTTTATTATATTATTTTAATTCTTTTAATTCTTTTTAAATAAAAATAATTATTTTTCATTTTCAGAATTCAGGACTGGCAGATGTCTACTGGCAAATTGCGCAGGCAGCGCCGCATCTCGAAGACGAAAAAAATAAAGTTCGTTTTTAATAATTTCATTCAATTAATTTAATTAATTTAATTTAATTTAATTAATTTAATTAATTTAATTTAAGTCGGTAATTTTAATTAAATTAAATTAATTTAATTTAATTTAATTAATTTAGTTTAATTTAATTTGCCTAGTTATTTATTTCATTTTATTTATTTTTTCATTTTTTCACTTATTTGCTTTTTTGCTTATTTGCCGGCTGAGTCTGTCAAACTGCTTTTTACTTTTTTGCTTTTGCATTTATTTATTATTTGCCATTTGTTGTAATTCATTTACTAAATATAAATTTTTGTTTATTTCAATTAATTATTTACTTTTAATTATTTTATTTTTTATTTATTTTATTTTTAAATTTAATTTTATTTCTTTAAGTGCTGTCTGTACACAGGACGGAATGACTCCGGTGGGAACGGCGCGAATGGACTTCATGAAAGAATTGGAAAAAGAAATTAAAAATTTGAAAGAAGAAGAAGAAGAAATTGAATAAATAAAATGAATAAATAAACAGAATTAAATAAATAAATAAATAAATAAATGAAATAAATGAATAAATTAATTAACTAATTAATTAATTAAACAAAAAAGGAAAAGATGAATCCACAAAATGGTGGAGTGGTGAAAAAGGCGTTTTCGGGGAACTTCGCCAACTGGCTCTTTTCGTTTTTAAGTGAAATAAATAAAACTAAAAT